CCATATTTTCACGTTCTTGCATTTTTTGCCTTTTCCAGAAAACTGCCTAGCCCAGCTATAAGTTACTAACTACAGTAATTTCCACTGTTACATAACTGAACATATTCTAAAGTATATCCAATGTGGATTGTTGCTCAGAGCTGAACCACAGGTCCAAACTTGAGGTGACCACAAAAATGAAAATATTCACCCAAAATGTAATAACCCCCCAGGTTTGAGTTAACTCCAACCAAATTAAACCACTTAACCCACGCCGAGCTTCTGGAGCATTCAGCGAAAAACAAAGAGAAACTTTGTTATGTTAGCTTGTGTAATTCATCTCCGACTATGTGCTGTGTATGCTCATTTGGACACATTTCCACAAATACCTTAAAACATTATACCAGATGACAAGATGAGAAAGCCACATGCATTTCAAACATGTGCAGTTTGCTTCTCAGTGGTCAAGTGCTTGCTAACCATTTCAATGTATTCAGCTGTTCACAATAATATATAAGTAAGGTATGTGTATTTACTGTATAGAGCACCTCTCTATGAAATAGGACAAAATCATATTACATTTCTAAAAAACCCGATTGAATCGCTTTCAACAAAAGGATTTTTTACGACTTATGTTCAGATACATGTAAATACAACTTTTGTAATCTGATGTATGACAACTTTGAGCTTTATCAAAATCAAAAAGTATCTGTTGTGTTGTGTGCTGGAGAAATATAAATTGATAGAAGTTGTCAGGTACTCTTTATCCCAGATTAAAAACAACTACACCAAAGGATAAAAAATGTTAACATCTAGAGTTCCTGATGCTGATGAATATTGTATATCAGAGTTAAAAGCTCCAGAACAAGCAAGTAGGTAAACCCTGATAGGAAAATAAAGTAGGTAGGGTAATGTTAGTTTTAACTGTTAACCGAAGTGACTGAAGTAAAAGTTTAATCGGGCGAAAAACAAGTGTGCTCCTTGGAAATCTGGGTTGAGTCTTTCCGGACTAATAAAGTTGCAGCTATGACCTCATGTTTACCGCCATTGATCGGTTTCTTACACTAATTACTTACAGAACAAATATGCTATTCCACATTGCTAACTGATGTTGTTGACAAACAAAAATGCAAGCTTGACATGTCAAATAATAAATAAAAAATAAACCTAAAGAGCCTCATATTCACAATACATTTTAATCCACTTGCCATGGTTATCTTTATATGCTGCTGCAAGCAACATTTTTACACCAAATGTGCAAGCATGACCCATCCATAAACCCTCTCCTTTCAGTCTCTTGGGGTGTCTTATCATCCCACAGACTTGGGAACAGAGGAAGTCACAAAACCTAGACATCCGTCATCACAGTTCATCTCATCCAGTCAGCAGGAAGCCTATAGCTCTGCCACTGTGCAGCTTTTCTCAGAGACCCACTCAAAACCTTTTCAAGGTCTCGTAAAACATTGTCCTTCCTGAAAAGACTGCACTGTCTGAGCAAAACAGACAGAGGCAGTGACTCCTCTTTGTGGGATGTTTTACCAGAATGTAACACAAGTTTGTACTCTCATGAAATTCATTGTTTCCATGGATCGCAGTACCATCTGTATTTGTCATTAAAAAGCCACATCCTCTTCTAGCGTGGGAGCATCAAACAGCATTTAAAGTTCAGTAAAACAAAGTTAACATGCATGTGCTAACATACATTCACCATGAAATCCGTACACCCTTGATGCTCCACTGTTTCATGCCAGTCTCCAAATAATATACAGAAAATCTCAGGATTGACCGCAGAGCTCTTATGCTGTAAATCTTTCTTCCCACTCTTATTATTATACACCTGCTTAAGCCAGAGAGTCAAGGGGAATGAATGTTTATTTTCTCAAATAAAATCCCTAAATGTTATGTGTGTTTGTTAAGGATTCACTGTCAATCCCAAATCCTAAAACATTCAAGGGGGATTATTTCGCAGCTCTGTGGGGATTTTCCCACCTACACCTCAGATTCTTTCCCTCAGCTTCTGGATGGTCACATGGTTTGAGGGTTCGAGGGAAGTATGGACATATTAAAGCTATTTGTGAATATATTTGGTGAAATAAATACCATATCGGCTGTCAGAAACAGACCCGAGGCAGCTCTTAAACTCCAGGGTTAAGTTGAAGCTGACACTCAACACTTCTGACAGCACTGACAGAGAAGACTTGCAAGTGTCTTATTCACAGTAGATGAATGTAGCTACATCCTTGTTTTTATATTTGCATGCAGTACATGTGACAGTTGCTTCTCTGTGGTTGCTCTGGAAGAATGACAAGGAATGTAAACTGTTTGATTATTCATATTTTCAAGAGTTTACACAGCTTCAGGCACATTTCAAACCAGTTTTGACTGTTTGAAGTATATGCCCAATGGAGAGGATAGAAAATAATACTGAAATAATAGTGACTACCTTGGGTGTATTTGTTGGCAACTCGTGTGCTGTTATTAATACTGTGAAGTTGAACTCACTATCTTTTTGACACAGTGTGTACCATCACACTTAGTGAAAGTAATGTATAATTACTTCATTAGTTTATTTGTTTATATATAATTTAGAATCAGTAATATTTTTGTATATCAATTTGATACTGCTTAATTTTCTATTGTATAATAATTCTCATGTTACATTTTTGTATTATTGTTTTACACATTCGAAATAAATCTAATCAAATCAAATTAAATCAAAATGTGTTTAAAATGACAAGCCAGTTCAGCCTTTGATTATTAAAAAAATAATTAGAACTCTGAAAACCAGAGGTTTCATTGTTGGCTCAATAAAAAGTAACACCATTGTGTATAAAATGCTTTGAATAACTGCAGCTACAGATTCACAGCATACTGTGCTACTGAGGCGCAAAGTTGAGTACAAACAAGGACAGTCTGTTATCTCATGGCATTTTTGCGTTTCTACCCCACACCAGCAGCTACAGCATCAGACTGACTACAGCCTCAGAAACCTTGAAAGCAAATGTAGCGTAATGGTGATATGTTTCCTATATGTGTGCATGACAGTCTGTGTGTGTGTGTGTGTGTGTGTGTGTGTGTGTGTGTGTGTGTGTGTGTGTGTGTGTGTGTGTGTGTGTGTGTGTGTGTGTGTGTGTGTGTGTGTGTGTGTGTGGGTGGATGTGTGTACAGTCTGTTTTTAGGGTGGGTTTGGCAAAATGTCTCAGTTGAACTGAAACGTGTTGGGACATGAAGGAAAAGGTAAACACAGGTGAGTATATTAACATTGTCTAATAAGTGCAACAGACATTAGTTATTATCTGTCGGATCAAATTCATAGGATGAGGCGCCCCCTGTAGGCTAACTAACGCAAATGCAGCACTTATACTGAGAAAAAAGACTTTTCCCTCTAAACGTCAAAGCAGTGGATAAAGACAGTTTCACAGCGACATCGATCAAAGTCAGCGTGTATGAATAACTTAATATCGGTCATGTTAATCATGCCATCACTACAAAACACTTAGCAACACAAACAACTTTTTTTTCATCAACTCTCTTGTCTCTCTAAAGATGCTACACATACTAAAAGTTAGATATAAAGGTAAAAAAGTCGTTATTTTTCTACTCCTTCAACATTTGTGACACATGAAGTGAAACAAACTGCTTACCTGTGTGTGTTTGTTGCAGTGTTTGCTCAAAGATCCATTCTTTAGCAGAGAGCCTGTGTCGCTTTCTGTCTGTCTGTCTGAAAACTGATTTTTTTTCCTCCTCCGTGTAACTGAGGAGAAGGAAAAAGGGAAAAGTGGACTGCACAGGAAATGATGACGCAGCTGTATAAAAATCATTTAGGCAGAATACAAAATATGCTGAAGATTGTGAGACATTTTCAGAAAATAAATGGAGTACAATTTTAGTTCTCACCAGATTTAATTGAAGAGTTTAACTGCCCATTTTCCAGGGGATTTCTAGACGGTTTTGGAGTTAATTAAAGTATTGCCATTTCATGACTAGGTGGGATTAAGGTTGCTTACTTTTAACCGAAAGGAAACTGTGAACATTTGTTCAATTGTTGGTTTATAATTATTTTCATTATCGATTCATCTGCTGAATATTTCTAGATCATGTATCAAGAAATGTCATAAAATGCCAGAAAATAGTCAATTTCCATTACACTTTCTTAAAGTCGCTGGTAATGTCTTAAATATCATGCAAAGCATTAGTGTATTAGTTTTGTATCTTTATGCAAATTCGTCATAAGGGTGTTGACAAATTCCCGATAAACAATGCAGTTATTTCATAACACATTGTAATGTGCTCATGCATAATGCCTTAACTGTATATCCGTACAAACTGGTTTGCACTTTGCTCCGCCGGTTAGGCCTGAGGCCTAAAGTAAAGCATGAAGAGTTCGAACACATTACAAATGCAAGATTCACAAATATTACATAGATTTATTTCAGAGTTAAAGGTAAAACAAACACAATAGTTAAGAACACTTTCATAGGTTTGTACACAGCCCAACTATACAGAAACAAATCTTTGCACTCAGTCATACTAATGCTGCCTGATAGACAACACAGACCTTCATTATCGAGCTGATGTCAGAGCAACACAGAAGTACCAAAAAAAGACTATTCATTAGATGTGTAAGGGTAGTCGAAAAGGGCACTGGTTTAAAGAGGGTCTTCGATAGACGAGGGCCAATAGCACAGCTATAAGAACCATGACATCAGCAAGAGATTGCATTGAATTTTGCAAAGGATTTCAGTGACACTACTTTAAATTTCAAATGTTATGTAATGCATTAAATTACGGATTTCACAGCAGCTATTAGACATTAGACATTATGGTAGGAATGAAGGATTCAAAAACACATTTATAAAAGATTCATTATAAAACATGCATTTTCAAAGAAGGCTGATACATTTATATTTTACACTCTTTCCGTTCCCTTGCAGTGAGATGTTGTGTTAGTTTTGGGGTGAAAGCTACATGTCAACAGATCATTACTGAGCAAGGGGCAGCTCCAGTTACAGCGGGGTGGTTTACTCTGAAGCCAGTTTGGCTTGTAAAGATCTTAAAGACTGGTCCGCTTTGGACTGATGGGACTCCAGCTGACACTGTGGCCAGAAAGAGTTACAGGATGGTATAACACCTTATTTTTATTCTATTAGTGTCCAACATCACATTTTTTTATGCAAATTCTCTGTGGCTTGGCACCTCTGCAAAGTAGATAGCAGGCAGAGAGTAAATTCTGGTTTTGGAAAAATGCTTTTTAAGACAATTCATTTAAAATTGTGCCTCAATAAATTCACTGTAATCTCTTGTGCTGCCTGCAGACAAAAATAAGAGTTCCAAGCTTCGATTATACATTTGACTGGGACTTTTTCCTCTACATATCCAAATTTCTTCACCAAGTTCAGTTTGGAAATGTCACACTTGATGAGGTACAAACCACAAATGAGAAGGAGAAAGAAATACAAATTGAGGGCTCTGTCACAGTGTTTCTTTCTCTCCACCAGTAACTCTTGATCGCAGGAAGCTTTAACTGAGAACAACATGGCAGAGTTACTGGTGGAGAGAAAGAAACACTGTGACAGAGCCCTCAATTTGTATTTCTTTCTCCTTCNGTCCAAACGTACTCTCTCATTCAATGCAACGGCCAGGGCATTCTATCAAGGATACCTTGTTGAAGGATATTCTACCCAGAGACCCAGAACAAGATCTGATTGCTTGCTTTCTTTTCTAACACAAAACCACGGAAATGCGTAGTGCATGGTCCGAGAAGGACAAACAAATCAACGTAACACTGTAATATTACAGATCAACAGCAGAGATACCATTCTCTACCAGTCACAATTGTTTTCCTCCACTAAGAGATAGCTAAGATCAGCGCCATATAGATACAATCTATCTATATGGCGCTGGCTAAGATAAGATAATCTTTAACAAGATGCCTGTGTGCTTAGTACCAGGTTGTTATCATACCAGCAATGGGTCTTGCTCGTTCTTTCGCTTCCTGTCTGATGAAAGGACCAGGAGTGGCTGGATCAAGTTAGCTACCTAGTTAGTAGCTAGCACGTTAGTTAGCATTACAGCCTTGTCATTTTTATTAGCCTTAACATTAAGTTAACCAAAGTGTTAAACAGTAAGAGTAGTAGTCATATTTCGTGAACCCTTTGAAGAGTACTGTCACCGGTGTGATCATTCCACACCATTTAAGCCCGGGGGAGAAATGCTAACGCTAACGCTAGCATCTGCGAACGCCAATCTTTTCTACTTAATAATGCATTACATTTTTTATTAGAGCGCTTTTACAGGTGCTCAAAGCGCTTTACAATCACACATTACACATATTAGACATGTAAGAGTCATTACTGTGGACACTACCCGCAGGAGCAAATGCGGGTGAAGTGTCTTGCCCAAGGAAACAACGGCCTGACGCAGTGGCGGCCGAGGCGGGATTCGAACTGGAGTTCACCAACACCTCTTGATCTGATGACCAACGCTATAACCACTGCGCCAAAACCGCCCTACTTCACGCTATCTGCACAAATGGTTCACATTAAACATTAAAAAGACCAGGCAGTTCAGAGAGAATCAAAGGAAGGCAGGCAGGCAGCTTTGCATGACATTCTTCTGGACGTGTTTCATTGTGGTGATAGTGAGGGGAGTCAATCGTTTTGTTGACAAGATAGTAGTGACGGCCATCTTGGTGACGTGTGTTGTTCTGAGAGACCAGAGATGTAGTTCATTGAGTGTTTCACACAAACAAATGTGTTACTTCACAGTTTTACGACACATTTTTTTGACTTGCAAAATTATCTTTTAAATTGACAAACATCATATGTGTAATTCGTGGCACAATTCAAACGGGATCGAAAGATAATCTTTCTCTCTCCATTGACTTCAATACATAATTTTACCGAAATAAGGTCCCATGGAGGTCCACCGGAAGGGGAGGGACTTCGCCACTCTATTCACAATGTAAAGTAATTCACACAGCCTTTTCCCTCTTCTCTCAGTGAGGAGCAGCAGGTTCAGCTTTCAGAACAAAGTAACAAAAAACTAAAATGGCATTCATTTTTTTAAATATGTCGTGGAGTAATAGATTTATTTATTTTTCTTCTCAAGAGAGTACCAGAATGTGTATTTTATGTTAGTATTTCAAAAAATCTCCTTGGGGAGAATCCCCCCAGACCCCCCNACTGAGAACAACATGGCGGTCGAACACGGACTTCCTCTGTTCCTGGACCTGCCTCCTCCAGCGCTGCTGGGCATGCTCCACTTTGTTCAGCATGTTGGGTCGGGAGTGGGAATGGGACAGGACATTGTGAGCGTTGGCAAAAGGCTGCTGGTCCTGGAAACACAGAATGAAAACATGTGATTATACACATATGCTAAGCATCCATCTTCCTTTTGTAAAAATACATATTGTGAGTACAAATTACATTTTTTGGCAACAATTCCTTTATAGACCACTAGATGGAGAAAAAGTAGTTTAAAATGTTAAGGAAAATGTATCCTATTGGATAAAAAGATGTTGACAAACTGTATATCTTGCATTTCAAAGAAAATAAATATAATTACAATATATGTAATCGCAACAGTCAGCATATTGGAGAAAAACATTTTTAAATCGCAATAATGTCACATTTTGATAATATGGTTTGGTGGAGACTCTTTTGAATACCATTACCAACATTAATTAAAAAAAAAATGTACTGTTGTGAATGACAAAATAAACCTTAAGGGAAAAAACAAAGTCATTATTTGTTCGGCTGTCATCTACTAACTGATTGGTTTTTTGGTGGCTTTCCACTAAGGATAAAACATATACAGGAAACCGTGTGAAGTGTGTTTGCCCCTTGAAATAATTAGACTTACATTTTGTATATGCAGTCATACAGAGTTGTGCTTTAGTTAGTGATGTGTACTTCACTATCATCAGTGGGCTTTCTTCATTGCTTGTCTCTCTGTTAATACTTGTGTAATTTGTCTTGAGGTCTATACAATAAATGTTAATTACTCTCAGAAGGAATCCAATAAAAGTTAATGAAAAAACTAAATTAGGAGGATCACAGCCACAGCTGTCCTCCATGGGGGAAATCAACCAGAGTATCAGCTTAGCAGCCTCCCTGTATCAAAGACTGGCTAAACATTACGAGCCCACCCTTTCCTCTATAATTAATGTAGAAGAAGTACCGGTACTTCTTTTGATACCGGTTTTGCCATAAATTCTCTTTCCCTTTTTTTACTCCCACTCCCACAGTGTAGGGACAAGCTACAATGTAGAAATAGTCTCAATTTAAGGTTAAATTAATAAATTGTAGTACTACACTCCTTTAAACTCAATCTTATAGTTTAGATTTCTTACATTTCAGTTTAATCCAGACTATAATTGTATTGATGTTTAAGAATTAGGTTTAGTGGCAAAAGCACAAAGAGACAATGATGTGATGTGGGAGTGAACCCAAAAGGGTTAAAGATGGCTGCATCCGGCACTCGTTTGAAGGTTTCCGCAATGCAGATCTTTGCCTGCGATTGTGGTTACTAATGGATCTGATAAAGAGTGAGAGCGCACTTTTAAATGTTTGTTTGGAAAAGATTAAACAGCACTGATTGAAGGAAGTGGTCCACCTAATTTATTTATTTAAAATATATAAAATAAATATTTGTTGTTTAATGTGTTATTCGGTCATTTGGGAGCTTTTACACTCTTCTACCCACAAAGAATGAGTCACATGTCACATGATGTGCAAAGGTTGACACATTGACAAGAAAGAAATAACTCCTTTTATGGGCAAAAGGGTGGGGCAGTAATATCATTACCATAATGTAAACCTTTATTGTGCATTCCATCTTTGAGTTGCAATACTGTAAATAAAGATGAACACATACCCCTACATCATCATCACTTTGGATCAGTTGCGAATGTCCAAACAGACGCCTCTTCAGGATGGGCTCTAGGAGAGTCAGGTAAACCATGTAGAGCAGCAGCAGCCCCAAAATGGAGAGGTACATTATGATGGTAACCTAAAAATTCAGAAGGAAGGAAGAAAGGAAAGGAACGACTTTTAGGATTTGAATTAATTACCATTTTAAATGTCAAACATAAAGTATGTACACAAACAGTGACATTTAGTCTCTGCATTTAAACGCCGCCCCTCTGGTTCCCAAGCCAAGCCCTACAAACTGAACTACTGACGCCCCTGATTCTAAATTAAAAGGATTATTAATATGTTTGGTTTCCTTTCAAATGTGTTGGAACCAAACACAGAAAACACAGTGAATTATGTGACTAGTTGATTAATGTCTTATTCCACAGAAAATTTATTGGCAGCTATTTTAATAATCTGTTAATAATTTAAGGCATGTTTCAATCAAAGCTGATTCCAGAGGATGGGTTGTTTATTTTATGTCATTGTAAATTAGAATGTTGGGGGTTTTATGTTGAGACAAAACAAGCAAATGGATAATGTTCAAATTCAGGGAAGGTATGATCCTAATTCTCGCAATTTTCATTTCAAGGACCAAAAGATCAATAGAAAAATAAGCCAATCTTTTTAACGAACCCTGCTGCTTACCTTAATTGTCCCTGAGCTCCTCTCTTCATATTTACACTCGCAGCGCAAACAGTATGCCTCCACATCCTTTCCGTCAACCGGCATGGGTACAACTACATGAAGACAGTTACTGAAAAATAAAATATAACATTAAGAAGTTAGTAGTTAGCAGTATATGGATTGATCAGGTCATTAAAGTGTAGCAACATGTCACTTTACATACCAGTCTTTGAGAGAAACATTTTGTTTGTAGATTTGCCCCTTGACCTCTCTGTAGGGCGGACAGATGCATTTACAACGGATGTCCTCAGAATTCTGTAACAGATAGATTACAATTTTTGTTTACTTCTCTCTATTCACATAAACACAACACAATTACATAACATTGTAACATTTAGGTAGATAACAGTATTGATCAAGATAAGAGCTTAATTGCGCTCAACTGTTTAACAACCCTTTAATGATAATTGTGTGTCTCATTGTTGTTATAACTATGTATGACTTTCATCTTAGAAGGAATGTGCAATATTTTGTGTTTTATTTTATTTACAAAGTGTCTATGGTCTATCACTGCCCTACCTTGTTGGCTATGTATTGCTCCAAGTTGTTCCAATTCAAATTCCCTCTTGAGGGCAGTTCAGTACAATGTATATGCATTTCCCCCCCCCCCCCCATTCCTTTTCAGTATTTTGCTGCTTTAATCCCGTTTTATTTCTGTGGTGATTTAAGATTCTTATTTTTATATTGTCATATTATTGTTATTGTTTCAGTCTTCAGTGTGAAGAACTTTGTTGACACTGTGTTTTAAAAAGTGCTAGACGAATAACGTTTTTTTATCCCAAGTAAAACCCTAACCCTCCCTAACCCAGAAGCTGTTTTGAATTATTAATGTCAGCCATATTGTACCACAGTAGTCTTTGTGTCTGTCTTCCTGATGTCGTCTACATTTAGCTACACAGTTCATACTGCACTTTCATATTTCTTGTCATATTGCAATAATAAAATGTTAATTAAAACCTTTATTATTGATTGAGGAGCAGCTAAAGACGATGCTAGCTGTTAGCCTCCCTAAATAAGTACAGGATACACTTAGATGTCAGTACATTGGCTACAAAGAGCGGTCTGCATTACATCTCTTCTTCATCATATCACGTTTTTTTGCTGACACTAAAGCTAGGTCTAGATTTAGCAGCATCGGCGACGCACCTGCTTGTCTCATAAAAGGTCTTTAACTCAGGATAACAACAGTCAGCAAAGCCATTTTAACGCTTTACTGTCAATACTCAAAATATAATCATCTTTAAGGGGGGTTCCATTATACGAGATTTAATTTTTGTATGCATTCATGAACAGTTTCTGTATAACGCTAGCTAACCAATGCTAGCTCATATTAGCCTTACCTTCGCTGTCACTTGGCTTAAAAGCACAAAACAAGCCACAGTGAAAGCTTCGATAAGAAACACAGACTTCATCGTTACAGCTTGTAACAGATTTCCAGATAGCAGCAGTTCAACTTTCTCCAGGAACAACTCCAACCGTGTGAAAAACACCCTAAAGACTGACGACTTTAGCCATCGAGCTCATTAGGGATAAACACCTTCAGCTTCCTAGCAGCTGACTTGTTGTTTCCGGGTTGGGAGCGCTCGATTATATAAACAAGTCCCCGGCGGAGGATGACATGTGAAATACTGAAGGTCTATTTTCTTCTATTATCGTCTGGTTTAGTACCTGATCTGCATGAGCGCAATGAACAATGAATTACTCAACAACTAAATCAGTTACTTTTAATGTTAATGGGAACACTTTAAAAATCCAAATTAAACTCCGCCCTTACTTTTTAGCGTATGAGAGTAAATCAAACGCACCTCTTGTTTCGACATTGTTGCAAACAGTCAGATTGCCAAACTTTGGCATGGGGACCATCAAAGGACTGCGGTTTAAGGACAAGACAACAACTCTTTTACTTATAATGTATCTAGTTTATTTAAATCCGGCTGATAAAAAAAAGTATTTTTTATGTTATCATAGCCAGGTATATTGTTGTTACTATGTGTATACATGTCTGAATGAAATGCAATAAACAATTTGTTTTGTGCCACATAGCCTAATACAAAAAAAGTGGGGACAGGGAAAAAGAACACAGAATAACTTTCCTATCTTTATTTACAGCATATTAGATGTACAAAACCATAAAAAATATACATATACGTGTCTTCTAAGACAGGTGAAAAGCTCAATTCTATTTTACAGGACTTTCATTTATTTCATGTATTCTGAACAGTTGTCTTTGGTTGCTAGTAAATAATACAAAATATATTGACGCATACTCATTCACACGCCTTGAAACATCAAATATATGAGCCACCAGCAATGCTACACTGTCAAACATGTACGTAGTTACTACAATACATTAGAGTTTCACCTAAAACTTTTTACATCATATACAACACATTCATCAGAATAATTGCTTTCGTGGTGCCACTACGTCTTTAGTAGTGCTAATGTTCCAGGTATAAACATTTGTGCTATATTTGTTTCAGCAGTATTTCTGTGCATTACGCTCTACCTGTGAGAGAAGCCTATGTTAAAACTAGATACACACTCTATATACAGCATCACTGACATTCAGCATATATCTGTTTAGCTATCACATTTGTTTTTCATCAAGATGATATTAGCAAATGTCTCATAATGTTGGCACGAACAGCATTGAATCCTGAAATGGTGACTTTAATACCTAAAGTCATTACAATTTCTCTGATGTTTATTAAAAGACAGTTTCCAAATTTCCAAACAAATTGATCTAGAACCATCCAGAGACACACTTAAACACTTTTTTCTCCCTCTATTTGTCCATTTTGTCTTTCAAATGTATCGAGTGTGTAGTCCGTTCTAGTGTCGCTCCATGAGAAAACGGGTAACTTCGGAATAATCTTAAAAGGGAAATTGGATAAAACAGATACTGTGGCCAGCATGTAATCTAGGTTTTTCACAAGATATCCAGAAACTTTCAGTCTTAAGGGCGAAGGAATCTCAGAACTTTGGAGCGCAGGAAGCGGATGAATGATTTGGGGAACATTTCTCTTGATTCTTGTGCTGTGTAGTTGAAGAAGTTTTGAGGGTGAGCCAGTACATCGAACAACGCCATCATGAGCTTCTTGTCCTGATGAGAAAATGTATTGCATTAATGGAAACCAAAAAAGAATATGAATAAGTCTGTGAGTATCACCCTTTTTTCCACCAGTATCCAAAAGAGGGCGCTACAAACATGCTTACTGGGCCTCAGGACAGAAGGAAAAGGAAAACCTATCATCAAATGGAGGATAGTTAAAGATAATCAAAATTGAAAACAGGTGCAAACTTAAGTCATCCGAGACTGCTGCAGAAACTTAAATATATAAACATTTAAAAAACAATTAACAGTTTTTCTAGATTGCCAATAATGTGTTCTATTTAATATTGACAAAGAATACCAGGCGCAATACAGATCAAGTGCCAAGATGTACATGAAACATTGTAATACACACCCATTTGTAAGACGTTTTGGCTAAATATTCTCCAGATTTAGAATAAACAACCTAAAAACACAGATAATCCTTATCAAACATTTGTACTAAAGCATACCTTAAGAATGTCCTGGTGATTCTCTGAAGCGTATAATCTCCCATCTCTGACTATGTCTTCTATCAATTCTTGGTAGTCCTCTGAAACAAACAAAGTCAATAAACATTGATGTAAGCAATCAAACTAAGATCAGATAAGATAATATATACTTAATTGATCCCAAATTAAGATTTGTTTTCGTTACAGCAGCAGGTACAAGGCATTGCAAACAGTTTGAAAAATGAAAAAAAGACATAAGATTCAAACATCTCAAAATAGACAATAAAACAGAACTAAAAGTAAGATATATTCAAGTTGACAATGAGAGATAAAAATCCCTATAAAAAGAAAAACTATGAAGGGCCAAACATGTGACAACACACTGACGTAGCGGCATCATCGTTATTGCACAAAACATCACATATCCATGTTTTTTCTTACCGTCATATGTCACATACGGGACCTGGAAGCCTTTGCCACTGTTTCCCTCGTTGGACCTGAACTGGACCCAGAGCCTTTTTGAGCGGGAGGTGAAAGCAATGGGACGTTCGTATGTCTGACAAGTCTCGTAGGTTGTCACAGAGTTTGAGAGAGCTGTGAAATAAATGAGCACACAGGACGACATCTATGATTCTAATTGGAATGTAAAAAATTATTAAAATATCCTAAATGTATTTTTTTTTAAATAATAATGCCACACAACCAACAAAATAATCCAATGGACTGTTAACAAAATTGTGTATTATATGAGCAATGCCCATAGTCTTATACTGGTTGGGAAATCAACATTTTCAATGTTGGTGACATTATTATGTAAAAAATGATGCACATAAAAAAAATAGGTCATATTAAATTCCCTTATATTGTACAATAAATCGATCATGATGTTTTGGTGAAAAGCCCATCTAGTAACCAACTGTAATCCCAGTAAGACAAATACATTAATGAAAGTTCATGTTGGTTTACTTGGTAACATTTGGTGTAAAGTAACAGTTAACCCATTGGTGGAATAGTTTCGAGTAATTTAACACAAACGTACAGCTCTTTCTCATGACTAAGTAGTCTCCGCACTCATCCTCGATTGGCAGGAAGATTTCTGGGACGACAATCAGGATCCTGCGTTTGGGCGGGGGGTTTATGGTCCAGGTGCACTCCACGTTGGCGGGGTAGTTCCCCGGGTAGTTGGGGGACTCGATGAAGCCAGTCAAATCTCCCAGCTCTCCTCCACAATGTCGGTCTGTAAAGTTATTCGTCAGATTTGTTTCTTGGTGCAACAAAGTGAATAATCTGGAACTGAATCCTAAACCTTTGTTTCAGGGACTTTATTGCGTACAGAGATACATACTTTTGCATTGCATGATGTTAGTAGAGCCATCGAAGTCGGTGGTGGTGTTTCCAGGGCAGGAGACACAGTAGTTCTGTCCAAACTCTCCTTGGTACGCGCCCATGGGACAGCGGATGCAACGGTGAGTGCTGCTGTTGTAGTAATGTCCAGGAGAGCACTGGACTGCAGGAGCCAATGACAGTGATGGAGGGCTGTTAGTTTCTGAAGATCCCATTACTCACTTTTATAGTTAATTTTTAACATCTCTAATATATGTGTCTATTATTTGTTATATCATACAAATTATTAAACGCTTACAAAGGATGGTTACCAATTTACTCAGGTAATGCACTTAAGTACAAAAAGAGGTACTACACTTTTCTGTTCCCTTGTCCTGAATGAAAACATCTAGTTTGAAGACAAAACAGCAGCTGCAGAGGGCAGCAGAGTTCCTGTCGACACCCAAAAGGAGCTCTGAAGACCACATGACAGCTTTGTGATGAACGTTGTTTGTGTTTGTTTAACCAAAGAACCACAAATGTTTCACACACTTCACGGGTTTTATAACCACCCTCAGTTCCATAAATCCCATTTGATCTCTTTATTTATGTTTAAACATTAGACATGAACTTAACTGGAGTTATTTCTTATTACCCTAAAACAACAACAACAGATGTTAATATGGCACCTTTGGTCTCGCAGTCCCGAAAGGTGACAGCTCCGATGCGCTTGGTGATCAGATTCCCTCCACAGGAGAAGCAGGTGGTGCGTCCCACCTCAGGCTGGTACGTTCCCAGGGAACAGGGCAGGCAGGGGGTGAAGCCATCATGGGAGTACTGACCCGGGGAACACTGACCTGAACACACACAAGCATTAAGTTAAGTCAGAGTGTGACATATTAGACACAGCAATGTTTTTGGTCAAATTATATCCTTATAACAAAACTGTGAAAACTGCATCAATTGAATACATTTCATTTCAAGTGTTTTCTTTGCAATTTCTCATGTTAAATGTAATAGAAGATACTGCCTTCTTCCATTAAGATAAGATACAACCAAGCTTAAGCAAATGTCAATGGCATGATGCCATGTTTAATCTGCACTGCATTGTATAATTCAACAGAGTGCAACTGCTCTGTGACTAATACAATCTGGGAGCCAGATTCTTGTTGTTTAGTCTGACAGGGGAGATGGGATCTTGGATTGAGTCATAAAGTGACTCCAATAACAGAAGGAGACCAAAACATGGTGGCTCCTTCTGTTATTTTTCAAGACTTAAAAAAAAGACTTCACCTTTTGAGTGAAAATTAATCTTCAACATCTAAGCTCAAGCTCCTTTGGCTTTACACAAAGCAGAACATCTGCCAGGGAGAGATCTCTATCATGCACCACCGCTTCCTCTGTGGCTCAAATTCACAAAACAGTTACCTAGATTGTGTGTCCTTCTGTGCCTTTTTTCTTTTTTCGCCTTATTATATTTCCCCTTTTTCATTTTCAAATATTTTTGTTTTATTGTACATCCTCTCTTATAAGTGTTGCACGGTTTAAACTATGGTCATTACCGACATGAGGCAATTCATAAAAGCCAAATGTAAAGATGTATTTATCCTAAATATCTGAGAAATCCAACCGAATACTAAAACATTTAGTAAGTCATTTTAGGTGTTGACTATTACTTAGATGAGAGGATATG